CCAGCCCTGGGGCAGGAGGGGGCGCCTTCCCACCGTCTCCCACACCCCACGGGCCAGCCCCTCGGAAGCGGGAGTCCAGGCGCCCCGCACGAGGGGCTCCCGCGCTGATCCCCCATCCCGCCCTGCGAAGGGCCCGGCCGAGCCGCCCCCGCAAAGAAGGTGCAAAGTGGGGAGGAGTGGCGCAGGGCGGTGCGCGTCCCCCCGCTGGGTCCCAGGGGGCCTGACACCCACTGTGCACGCTCGTTCGGCCAGGTCTGGAGAAGCGGGACCTGGCCCAGAGCGCGACGTCTGGGAGGGGTTCCAGGTGAGGCCCGAGGGTCTATGCGTGGGCAGTGGTGCGTGGACAGGCTCAGCGAGCGCCTCCCGCCCCCATGCTGGGAGAAGCCGTCTCCCAGTCTTCAGCGGCTGGTGTCAAACAACCTGCTTTGTTCTCTGCAGCGCTGCTGGGTAGACTTGCTCCTCACTCCCATTACACAGGTGGGAGAGTTGAGGCTGGGGAAGGCAGAGGCCCTGAGGCATGGCCTCTTACCAAGCCTGGAAACACCTTCCATAGGGTCTCCCGACCCGGACGAGGGGAGGCTGGGTGGCCCAGAAAACACCTCTGAGGCCCCCACAGCCTGAGCAGGGAGAACCAGGTAAAACGTCTCAGCTTCCTGGTCCCAGAGGTTTCCCTGCTTCACTGAGAATCTTCGGTTTAGGAGAAAAAGTAAAACTCAGACACCTCAAATCAGGGAGATAACAGTAGGTCTTTTTCTTTCTATAAAACATTTAAAAAATTAGCTTGAATTGCACAAAGAATCGCCAAATACATTTGACTTAAAGCAAATATTTATCCAGTTATAGATAAGCCCTCACGACCATGCTTCCGACAATTCTAGACTTGTCCTGTTGATCGGTTTGGGGGCAACCTTCCAGATTTTTTTAAAGTACACTTTTTTTTCATGATAGACTAGTGTTATATTTACAGAAAAGTTGCAAAGATAAGGACAAACAGTTCTCAAGGACCGCTCACCCGTTTTCTGTTCTTGTTAACATTTTACATTTTCAAGGTACATTTGTCAAAACTAAAAACCAGCTCTGGTCTGCTGTGACTAACCAAACTCCAGACTTTATTGAATTTCTCAGTTTTTCCACTAATATCTTCTTTCTGTTCCAGGATCTGATCCAAGGCATCATGTCACCTTTAGGTGTCGTACCTCCTCAGTCTCCTGGCTGTTTTTAAAATTACTCTTACATACCATACAGACTTGAGCCTATAGATAATACAGGGCAATGTGTGTGTGTGTGTGCCCAGCTGTTTTTAAAATTACTCTTACATAACATACGGATTTGAGCCTATAGATAATACAGGGCAGTGTGTGTGTGTGTGTGTGTGTGTTTAAATCAGAGTGTCTGAAAATTCCAGAAGTTTTTTGGAAACTTTTTATTTTTAACTAATATGTTAGTTGAATTTCCAAACAACAAGTTCATGATATTTTTCTTCAACCACTAAACACCTTTTCATGTGAAATTTAAAACCATTTATTGGATCGTTTGCCTGGAAAAAAACGAAAAGGAAAAAGACAGTTTTCCTATGATGAAATGAATTATTTTTTTCTAAGTTGTCAGGCTTTTTGGATACTCTGTATAGAGATGTTTTCAGACTTTACATTTGCTTTTTTCACTCCAGATTTTAGTGATGACACCCCTCCATGTTGCTACGTGGAAATCTAATTTATTCTTTTGATTTTCTGTGTAGGATTACATATTATGAGTAAATGGCAGGCTTCTTGTTTCCTTTTTATTCCTGTTCCCATTGATGGACTTTTAGATTGTTTCCAGTGTTTTTGCTATTTCAGACAATGTACTGTGGTTTTCCAGGGTGGCCTCTCGCTCTGTGCTTTTCTCTGGGGTGATGGAGGCAGCCATAAAATACATGGAGTCTGGGAGGCGGAGTATCTGGGTGCTCAGTGTATGGAAATGTCAAGCCTTTAGCAATAAGAACAAGCTGTGTAACCATTCTCTGCCTCAGTTTCCCAATCTTTAAAGCAGGCGTGATAACAATAGTAGTCGAGAGAGGAATTGCTGGATTAGGAATGCCAATTAAATGCTATTTTAGCTAACTCTTGCTATCAGTGCAGAGAGCTAATTTATCTTTGAGCGAGGGTGAGTCTTCAATTTTATATCTGGGAGGCTTAGGAAGGTCTACAGTGGGTATTAGGGAAAGTGTGGGTATGCGGGTCACTGACGGCTGGAGGGCAGTTGCGTGGACCCTGGGAAGACCTCATGGGGACCCCAGTTTAGGCCCCCAATCTAATTTTCTCCTCCAAACTGGGTGAGGGAGCTCTTATTACCCCCATTTTACAGAGGAGGAAACTGAGGCTCAGAGAGGCCAAGCGATGTTTCCAGGGTCTGCCTGGGTTAAAAATCTGGGCTGCAAGAAATTTTAATTCCCAGGAAGAATGAGTTCTCACTCTTCCCACACAGGGTATTTGTGATCTGAGTGCTCAAAAGTCTTAGAACCGCATGATGTTAAGATAGTAAGATGCAGCTACCACGAGAAGATTCTTAAGGACAAATAATCGAGTGTTGGAAAAAGAGGTGGTTGAGGCTGATGCTGTATAGATGGTGATTCAAAGTTTGGGTCAAAACAAGCAATGCCCTGTACCTGTGTTGGCTCATTCCTTTCTCCTGACAGACCCCCAAGGTCATGTTCATAACCCCATCTTACAGCACAGACCTAAAAAGCCTAAGTGACCTCCTTAAGGCTACGATAAAATTATATTTCACATTTAGCCCGTTCCAAAATTTATACTTTTCCCAGTAAAAAGATAAAAGCACTACTTTGATCAGCAACTCTGTCTTCACACTTTGTTTTTCTTTTTTTAAAATTTACTTATGAAAAATTTCAACTATATAGAAATATAGAAAGAATAGCATAAGAACTCCCATCTGCCCATCACCTTGATTTGATGATAATTAACATTTTTATAAAAAATTACAGATGTCACCACTTTAGATATCTCACCACTAAATATCTCAGAATGCATGTCAATCTGACTTCTGTGCCCATGGAGGCTGGGACCTGCCATGTGCATATCAGAAACATTCTTCTTGGCTTTCTGGCCCTCATTTCTGTCTGTACTCTTGAGCTGGATCACATAGCTGGTCTCTCACACCCCAGGCACTTCTCCAAGCTGAGTACATCTCTTCCTCTTGGGGCTTGTGTGACTGCAGGGAGCATTGGAAGAGGTCTTCTGGGTTTGAAGCCCCTTTTCTGGGGGACCAGCGGCCACAAGCGGCATCAAGTGAGGATTCCTGGTGGCTCAAGGGCTGATCTGAGCCCTGGCAGGACACAGAATTTCTAGGCACAAAGAAATCTGTCTCATTCCAACATACACCAATCAGAAGTCACTAAACAGTGGTCCATGGCTGGGTTTAGCCTCAAATGGGTCCGGTGTGTACCACACAGCACAAGGGGAGAGAACTAGAATATTCCATACACAAAACTCCAGATTTCCAGCTTCTTGTGAAAAATCGGAAGATCTAGAACGGGGATCCCCAGTCCCTGGGCCACTAACTGGTACCAGTCTGTGGCCCGTTAGGAACTGGGCCACACAGCAGGAGGTGAGTGGTGGGCAAGGGAGCGAGCAAAGCTTCATCTGTATTGGCAGCCGCTCCCCAGCGCTAGCATCACCGCCTCAGCTCCACCTCAGATCATCAGGCACTAGATTCTCATAGGAGCACCGGTTCCTGGTGCCAAAAAGGTTGGGGACTGCTACTCTAGAACATTTGCTTGGGACTTAAAAGTAGAGCCCACTCTAAGCCTTGCCACAGTCCCCACCACTCCCTAATGCCTCTCCAACATGCAGCTGTTTTATTTATCACTACACTTGCTCTACTGTTTTTCCTTATGTCAAGAAACAATTCTCTGAATCTGTGTCTATTACAAAAAATAGGAAAACAAAACCTAAAGCAAGATAGCCACATGTTTTTTCTACCCAGTGAGAGGCAATGAGAGCGGGGAGTGGTAGGGGTTAGGGAGACTCTTGGTTAACGGCAGACAGCCTGTGGGTGAACCCCGGAGAAATGATGGGTTAAGCAGTGTAAACAGAAGCTCAGGTTGTTTCAGCCCAGCAGGGCAGAAACCAGACCCCTTCTGTTCCTCCGTTAAATCCTGCTGGAGCCTGAGGCCCTGAATTGAGTTGAAACTACTGGACAGAGAGTTCGAGAAACCCACCAATATTGCACAGCTAAATGATGCAGCCTCTGCTGTGAACGACCCACAACATGGATGATCCTATGTGCTCAACCTGCACTATCTCCCTGGACCCTCTTAGCAACTCTGAGAGCCACCAACTGCACATGTGATTTATTCATCTGACACATAGTTATTAAGGGCCTACTATGTGGCAGGCACTATTCTAAGTGCTGGGGTCAATAGCTAGTGCCTGCCCTCATGGAAATTTCATCTTGTAAAGGTGTAATACTTTACAAGACACAAAGCAGATGATATATATCCACCCTCTCCCCTGACTTCCAAAGGGTCGAGTGGAAAGAGACAGGTGGCAGGGTTGGCAATGGGGTCTGTGAGGGAGGAATGGGCAGTTTTGGGAAGAATGCACCTGATGGGAATCAACGCTGAAGGGGAGAGTTAGACAAGGTGCCTTGGTGTCTGAACCCGGAAGAAGCTGGGAATGAGACCGTCAAGCGGTATGTCTCTGCCCCTAGGGCCTGGCAGTGCCTCAAAACAGTGAGAGTGTCAGTGGGAAGGCTAGAGACCGCAGACCCCGAAATAGAGCCTCCCTCGCCCCCGCTGACCTGGCCGTGGCTGAGTCACCCTGGAATGTGGCCTGAGCCTGAGTCAGATTCAGGGCCTGGGGCTGGAGAAGCCGGCAGGCAGCCACATCGAGGGTCAGACGCCTGGGCTCCCAGCTTCCTGCCTTTGTCTGCACCTCCTTGGGACTTTTCTGGGGAAAGATAAAAGCTGCCAGAAATAATACCAGGCAGCAGCCAGGATGAAGGGTAGGGCACCTACATCCTCAAAGACATCTCAGAGGATCTCAGGCCCTGCTTTGGCCAAGTAGCTGGAACCTCTCTGGGCACAGTTTCCTTATCTGCAAAGTGGGGATGCAGATGTCCACTTGGGGTGACTTGGGGCCAGGGTAGCATCTCCACAGCCAGATCTGCCTGGATTAGAAGCCCAGATCCTCTACTGTGGGTTCTGGGGCAAGGGATTCAGCCCCTCTGTGCCTCAGTCTAGTCTGCTATAAAACGAGCTTGATAGTAATAGTTACTTCCTAGTAGAGTGACAGAGCTCATTAAGTATTAGCCATTAATTCCAAGCAAGGAAACCGTTGGAAAATGCATAGTGCCTGACATATCTTCGTTCCTCGGTAAGTGGCACCCAGTGTCTAACTGGTCCTGTTTCTCAGACTCCTCCAGCTGCTCCCCAGTTACGAGGTGCCAGGTACTCACTGTTCTCTTAACTCCCTCCATCTGCATCACAGCCTGATGTGGTCAATAGTGTTGTCACTCCTGTTTCTCAGATGAGGAAACTGAGGCACGGAGAAGCAAAGTCAGACAGCAAGAAGCAGGGCTGGGATTTGAAGCCAGGAAGTTTGGTGCTGAAGTTGGTCTCTGACCTCCTGTCTGTTGTACAAAAAAGGCTGCTCCGAGTCCCGTCTCCCTGGGCTGATGTGAACTGGCCGAACGGGTTACTCCCACCCCAGGCTCTGCCACGGCGACACCTTGCCTTTAAGTGAGGCCTTCGGAGGGAGCTGCCTTGACCCAGAGCCTTGCAAAGAGAGAACGGGAAAGGACAGGTCCTGGCATCATTCCTGCACCCGCTTCGAACCCCAGACCTGTGACTTGAGAGTCTCCTCAGTGTTAGACTCAGGGGCAGAGGAGGGGCCGACTGGGGGAGGCACTTCCTGGCGCCCTCAAATCTCATCTCCGGTTCTGCTCTCATGTTTCCCAAACCCCAGCCCTCCATTCTGGCCAGTCTCTCTGCTTATCACTTGTCCTACCCTTGGGGTTTATGTTGGGGGACAGCCAGACTGAGGGAGCAGGAGGCCACGGTGGAGAGGGAGGGGAAGAAGGGTGAAAAGAAGTTAGTTTTCCCCTGGACCGCTGGAAGCGGGCCGGCCGGGTGCCTGGCTGGGCTCACTGGGGACCGTGGCCCCCGCTCCCACCACGTGGCTCTCCTGGGTCATCACATTAGTCTCTGACATTTCTCCCTCCAGCCTCTCTCTCTGTTGCAAGCTTTTAACAACATAACCATGTCAATTCCCAACTCCTGCTTCGAACCTCCACCGATCCCCCCCTCGCTTGGCATACAAACCAGACACCGTCCTTGGCCCTCACGGTCCACAGGTCATCTCTAAGGTCCTCGCCTACCTCCCACCCCCCATTCTCCACCTCAGCCACACCAGCTCCTGCTGTCGTGAAACCTCGCCACGCGCATTCTGGCCTCAGGGCCTTTGCACCTGCTGTTCCCTCTGCCCGTAACGCTCTTCTCTCTCCACCGAGCTCCCTTCTCATCCTTGGGGACTTTGCTCACACGGTGCCTTCTTGAAGAGGCCCTCCCCGACCACCTCTACACAAGGCCCCCCTCGCTATCTCAGGCCACCCTTCTTTCTTTTGCTTTAACGAGATATAATTCACACACTATAAAATTCACCCCTTAAAAGTATACAACTTCGTGGTTTTTAGTATAGTCACAGGGTTGTGCAACCATCACCACTCTCTAACTCCAGAATATTTTCATCACTCCAAAAAGCACCATTATTAATCACTCCCCATCCACCCCTCCCGTCAGCCCTTGGCAGCCACTAATCTACTTTCTATCTCTACTGATTTGCCCATTCTGAACATTCTGTAGAAATAAAATCACAGAAGATACAGCCTTCCGTGTCTGGCTTCTTTCACTTAGCATAATGGTTTTGAGGTTCTTCCACGTTGTAGCATGATTTAGTACTGCATTCCTTTTTATGGCTGAATAACGTCCAAGGCATGAGCAGGGCACATTTTGTTTATTCATTCATCAGTCAATGGACATTTGGGTGGTTCCACTTTTGAGCTATTATGAATAATGCTGTTATGAACAATAGTGTATGAGTTTATGTGTGAACATATGTCTTTAATTCTTTGGGAGATATCACTAGGTTGTATGGTAACTCTGTTAAACCGTTGAAGGAACTGCCAGACTGGTTTCCAGGGTGGCTGGACCATTTTACATCACTGCCAGAAATACATGAGGATTCCAATTTCTCCGCATTCTTGCAGCAATACGCCGCC